CTAACAGTTTGGTTTCGACCATTAGAAAGATGTGGGTAGGGAAACCACAATAAACAGTTTCTAATATAAAAATTAGGCAACATCTAATAGCGGAGCTCCAATAGCAATTTAGAAGAAAATGATTAAATCTACAACTACTATTTCAAAGATAGACTTAGTAGAGATGCACTGTTTCAAGGAATGTTTGTTGAAATTCAAACAATTATTATTATAAAGTAACATATTTATCATATTTAGGCTTAAGAAAGAGTAATGTTTATTAGAATTTTGTATTTGAATATATTGACTCCGTTGGACGAAGATATTATAATTTGTAAATGTCATTTGATTTAAGCTAAGTAAACTAAAAACTTATCGGCAAAAATAATTAGTCAACATAAGCTTATAATCAATCAGATTTAATTAACGCGGCAAAGTTATTTGTGGCGAATAATAACTGATTTGTACTGTGCGATAGTCTATGGTAAACATTGGCCCTATTTAGACTCTATTTTAAATCAGCAAGGTAACCCAGTGAAGTGAAATTTTGTAAGCTGAAAAGGGCAACCATAATCCCATGCGTGGTCGAAGCAATTACCGTCCGACAATCGCAACTCGGCATTATCCCCGACAACGTTCTTTATATATGATATATACACCTAATTGAAGAAACGTTGTCGGGTCCAAAAAGGTCAAATCATAGAAGCTAAGACCGAAAGGGTACTTGRGAAGACAAACAATTTGGCTAATTTCATAACAAACATCTCTCCAGCATAAAATGATAAATGACTAGCATGCTGTTAATCTTACTAGCTCTACTTGATTTACGGTACACCGTATATACAAATGTAATCCTAATTTAGTGGTACTCAAAATCCCTTTCGGTCTTAGCTTCTATGATGTGACCTTTTCGAACACGACTACSTTTTTTCAATTAGGTGTACAGCTATTTCAAAAAACGTTTGCACGACCGAAAGGGACTATGGTTACACTGTTTTGAAAAACAAAGTTTCACTTATTGGATTCACCTTACATAGTAATGGAGACTAAATGGAGCCAATGTTTATCACAGACCATCTTACAATACAAATCAGTTTTTATTGCCGCTAAACTAGCAAAACCCATGGCTACTTTCCGGGTCGTACAATGGCCGTTCGACCATTGCCATTTGCCATTTTATCCGACAACCTTTTTTGAAATAGCTATATAATCTTTCATATATACTTAGTTTCCACCAAAAAATTAAAGCCGGAACTTAAAATCCAAGACACACGCTGTGTTTATACAAGGAGTTCACAATAGACTTGGCCACTTATACTTGAACAACTTTAAAATATCAAATAAAAAAAAATGACATAACATTTTGTTTTATGTGATTAGTGTTTACTCAATTTTTTTAAAAGCTCGTTCCTAGTTTTGATGGTATTTCTTATTATTATATAAGTTATGTCGCTGCGCTCGTGGGTTGAGTTTTGAACATTTTATGACGTCAAGAGTGTGTCAATAAGAGGACATACAACTCAAAACCGTGCGCCATTTGTCAAATGTCATTGTTTTTTCAATTTGAATTTAATCAATACTAGATAAATAATAACCTCCTAGTGTATAAGACATGGAAAACATAGAAAGTATTATTCTCTATTCGGCGGACCGTCCCCGTATAGTAAAGCGGTGCGAAATCGCTCTATTCAAGAAATATTAAACGGCCGCTTGTGTCTCTGTCCTCTGACATAAACACGATGGGAGTTCGAAAAACACGAGAGAAACAAGCTTAGGAACACGAGCGTAGCGAGTGTTTTTCAACTCCCAGCATGTTTATATCAGAGGACAGAGACACAAGCGGCCGTTTAATATTTCTTTTATAAAATTTTTCGAGCGAAAAGAAAATTTTGCCGGTAAGCCGTGTCTTTGTCCTCTGATATAAACACGGTCGTCTGCCAATCAAAGCGCGTGATATATATATATATATATATATCGAAAATTTTATAATAATCGTTAACTATAGAGTACGCACGCACTAAATCCGTGAAAATATTACTAATTATACTGAATGGCGTTGTTCAGATAATAATATACAAAGAAATTACCATAATCTAAAGATTTTTTGCACTATTTTTGTTTCAAAGCCTAAAGGGCGTTAGATAGTAACTTCTCCTTGTTTTTTTTCACGAGTGTGACCTCTCAACATTAAACAGTTAGAACGCGCTTGGACGGATTTACATCTGTGTTTTCTTCAAAGATTTATTGGTCCAGCTTTAAACAGTAGCAAGATACAGGGAAAATAATAGTAGGCAATAATCAAAAAAAATTTTTTAATTAAAGACCATTAAGTGAGATTTTTATGAATACATGCAAACAATACTAATGATATATGGGTTTTCTGAAAGAGAAAATTAGTAAAGTTARAACGCGTTTGGGCGGATTTTCATCTGTGCTTTCTTCAAAGATTTATTGGTCCAGCTGCCCCAACGAACTCCTTTGTCTGTAGTCTTCTTTGGTAGGTACCTGCCATTCAGATTACAAAGTTGGCAATTTCGAAACCACCAACCACCGGTGAGTTCTGCAGCACAATTACTATGCCAGATATCATTGTCCCTGTCCTTTGTGCTGAAAAACATGCCGTTTAAATCAAACCATTCCTTCATTGCATTGCCTGCGGTACCTGAATAATTGCCTACTTTTAGTTTGTATTTGTCAGACTCGTCAGCAATAYCAAAAATGTTATATTTAGCATATTTCGTTTCTTTTCTCCAGTTTTCCATGTCAATGCGCAGAGTCGACGCTGTTCTTGCTGTTAGGCGATGAAGGTGATCATTTCCCAACCAAAACTCGCCTTTCAGGTTTCCAAAACCGGTTTTGTAGTCTTGCCAGTTGAGATGGAAGTTCAATGAWCCGTCCTGTCTTCTTTGGAACACAGTCCACCCCCCACCGTCAGTTGTCATGTCACAGTATACAAGGAAAGCATCTTGGTCGTCTGGTTTAATTGTATAAACACCGTCACTTCTCTTTCCCCAACTGTACAACTCAGAGCAGTCAAAAGGGTATCGAACACGAAGGGTTGTTCTAGCTTCAACATCTGACACGCCAGCACTTGTAGCAGTGCACACATATTCGCCATCGTCTGTTTCATTTAAGTTTTTAAGGATCAATGTATCACCTATAATTTCGTGTTTACCGGCCGGCAGGACGCCATTTTCTTTTCTCCAGGTGATGACAGGCTTGGGGTCACCCTTAGCTGTGCAGTTGAAAACAACGCTCGGTGCAGCAGGCTTTGCATAATACGATGTAGGTGGTTTAGCTAGAAAGACTGGTAAGTCGACGACAACAATTGTAGAACCAGATTCCACAGAACCCAAATTGTTTTTAGCTCTACAAAAATATGTCCCAGAATCATTTTTCACAGACTTTAACAAGCTCAGCTGCCCTTCCTTTATCCTAATCCGATTTTCAGGTAATGAGCCATGAGACTTTGACCAATTGATTTGAGGTTTAGGATGTCCCATTACATCACAGACAGGTAATTTGACGTCAMTTCCGATTTTCACGTAGGTTGGTCCRGTATTCAATKTTATTCGCGGTCGRAAATTGACCTGTAATGTTGCTTTGACTTGTTTTTTGAAGAGATTGTAGATTGTTGCCTCGCAAATGTACACTCCCGCGTCACTTGGTGTCGTGTTTCTTATCTCGAGTTTTCCGTTGTGATGTAAAATGGCTCTTTTAGAATCCAGTGTACCATMCYTTTTCTTCCARGCAATCACAGGTCGCGGTTGACCACTAACGGAGCATTTKAAAATAGCGGTTTGACTCTCGTTGACAACCAAATAAGTATTAGAAAGTGCTACACTTGGAGGAGATGAAGAAGCATTTCCAGGATCTCCTTTTGRACCTGTCGCACCTTTTGGTCCRGGGGAGCCATCTTGRCCAGGATCGCCTTTCAAGCCGGGATGACCCTGATCTCCTTTAATACCCATAGGTCCAGGTAACCCCATTTGTCCTGGATCACCTTTTATCCCTTGTATTCCAGGTTTTCCCGGCGGACCTCGAGGTCCTGGTGCTACCATCCAGTATTTGGCGTTTTTAAAGGTTGAAAGTACTTCGTTAACTTTCTTGTCGACTAACTTGGTCATTTGTTCTGTGGTAACGTTGGGATTTTGATCTACTKCGGTGATGTCTCTTGTGATCCTTTTCAATGTTCTTTCCCTTTCGCCATGTTTGGAAGGGAAGTGGTTTTCCATGGCATGCTGGCGGTCAAGCTTGTCGACTTTGATTTTCATTTCTTTAAACATTATCTCCAGTCTTACAAACTCWCCRAAGCACATCACGAACACAGCTATTAAAGCAACAATAAGAGCGATCTTGTAAAACGCATTGGACGAGGCGACTTTGTCAGCCATTTTGCCTAGAGCGTAAGTAGCGGACGAACTAAGTGACCTACAACTTTGAGAGAGTTTTATATATAACCAAGGGCGTGCTTGGGCAAGTCTAGAGGATATTCTATACTATGTTTTGCAGCMGATTAGTAGAGAGTTCCCGTTTCCTGTTCTGCACACCAGGTCCTACCCTGCAAATTCTGCATGCAAGCAGATTTTCCTGTCTTTTCCTGATATAAACACACAAGCACGCGCGAGAAATGTTGAGAGTTCTTATGAAAAATGGAAAATCGGATCGTCAATTGTTGATGAGTTGAACTGGGTTGAAAATATATAAACATTTTAATCACATGATTCTAGTCACGGTACTGACATAGTTTGACAAGSTCTTGATTACCTGTCAATTTTGTACAGTCACGAACGAAATGGCCACAAGACATTCACAAACGCAAAAAGAATCCAGTATTTGATCAGWCTAGATATAAAAAATGATTACTGAGCACTTTTTGTTGCTAAAACAGGAATTTCTTGAATTGAATTACTCTGAGGATATCTTTTTAAGCCGATTAATTCCCCGATCATAATAATATGACTTCCAGTTGTGTTTGCTTTTGATGAGCCAGCAAAATTTAGAATCGGSGGAAGCTTAAATCAATTAGGGTGAAATGTTCATAGTTTTGCTACGTTTTGAGAACAATTTTTTCATTGAAAAAAAATCCTAATGAACTCCGATTCCTCTCGTTTTTAGTGAATATAGTGAATMATTGCCGGATTTTTTATGTACCGTCACCCTGCATGGTTTCAGAGGTTATCGAGTCGTGAAACGGCGAGACGTTTCCGCTAATCGATCGATTTGTTTAAMTTTGCACTGATTAATGAAACGTCTCGCCTCTTCGCGGCTCGATAACAAAGTAAGCAAAAGAATAAAGCACAAGCTACTGAAAGTTGTTTAATGCACCGATGTAACCCGTGTAATTTGAATGACAGTGATTTATTAAAGAAAAGTATTTAGAGAGTTGATTAGCTTTTAATTCGTACAGGTGGAGAAATAGAATCGACGATGTACTTATAGCAGTATCACCTGAATTTTATGAGTATAAAATGTCTTACTGAACTGCACGTTATATTATCACTATCCTGTCTGATTCAAAGCATAGCAATTTCAAGAATACCACGCAAGTTTAACTTGATCAAAAGAATATCCGCCCCAAATCCCCAAGGACGCACACTCTCCCCAAGCCCCGCACTCACACGGCTACATACGCACAAAACGTTTAAAATGACAAAAGGGCACTGCTTTTTTTCGCCAAAAATTGGCTATTTCTATCTAGATATAGGATTAAAGAAAAATTCAGTGGATGACGAGGGAATTACACTGAAATTTTCTATATAATGTAACGCTGATTTCGAAAATCAAATTAAAAATTTTGAGAAACAATTAGTAAGCTAATTAAAGCGATTCTCGTCAAAAAATTGGTTTTGGTACCCTGTGCTATCGTGACGTCAGATCGTTGTCGGGGTTTGTTTTGACCACAGGCAACCCAAGCAGAGCATTTGAACTTTACAGTGAATGTATGGGGTTGTAACAAGAGGCCGTTATGCATAATGAGCATGCGCGCAACCGCTGCGTTATAACGACCATGGGCTCTAGAATACGGGTAGAATAACATTGTAGTAGCTGCGGAAGCTTCGATTGTGAACATAATACTCCAGTTTCGAATTCATAGCGAAAAACCGCTGCTTTATTTGACAACAGATTCTCTTGCGCAAAGACTTTACAAACACAAAARAGCGCACGAGAAAATGTTGTTATTACAATAGACTTGAAAATTTGCATTTTCCCCGAGTTGAGATTATCCCTGTATTCCCGTAAGACCTAAGGTATGAGCAGGGTTAGCCTCAACCTGGGGAAAATGTAGATTCATAGCGCTCTATTGTATTAACAACATTTTCTCGTGCTTTCTTTTGTCTTTGGTAAGTTCTTTTCGTAATAGAATCTGCTGTCAAGTAAAACAGCGGTTATTCGCTTTGAATTCGAAACTGGAGTATTGATGTTTTTACTTATCTTCCACATTTTTCCAAACAAAACCAAGTCGATATATTTACAATGCACACGAATATCTTTCAAACTTTATATAAATTACTGTGAGTCTCGGGCTTGATTTATAACACGAAGCCACTTTGTACCGTTAAAATGTAGTGAATTATTTGTGCAHACCTTTAGCAATAATAAATTCCTAAGATGTGAATCGATTGCACTGCAATAGTTTATTTCATAACTTATAATGATACAGCTATAGTACTACACATAGATATTTATGATAATTTGATTCAAACAAGCTCAACTCTTCAGCCAAAAGAATGCTAAATTTGTCGTGAGTGCTCAACAGCACGTAAGAATWTGCAGAATTAACACCGTTCCACATTTTTCATAGACAAGAAAACATTATCAAAACATTTGCAAAGCATACGTCTTGATATTATTAGCCTTATTCTAATGAGTCCTGATGGTATATAAAAGGAAAGTAGTATTTCATGTAACAGTTAACAATATTTAAGCGTAAATATTGTACACTTCAAGAAACTTTCTTTCGAACATTTCGAGGTCGATGTTGCTAAACGATGCCTAATTATATTACTACATGCGTACATTTACCATTTACTCATGACCTTCGTTGAATCTTGACCAGCACTCAGCAAAAACTTGAATAGTAGTTGCGTATATAAACCACTGCAGCCTCCATATTGCTCGTTTTCAATCATTCCCATGAGATTCAAAAGATAAAAGACCGGCGGCCATGTTGGTTGAATGAACAATAGATACTAATTAGAAATCCTTTGTTGAAGTTCAACCAAGATGGCGGCTGTGACGTATATTGCAAACGAAGAATTGTAAACACAAAGTCATTAATATCAACATTTCTTAAATAAGATTCTAAACGGTCCCAATCAGTCCAATAACGCCAGTGTTTTTCCTCGTTGTAGGTTACACTATTTATGAGTGTTCTTGAGTCATGACAGAACATTTCAGGGTCAAAAACAGCCAAAAACATTTTTGGAAATTGTCCTTCGTGTCGTTGTAATTTCTCGCTTGAAGTGAATCACTAATGAATTTCAATGAATTTTCAACAGACTGGCGCATGCGCACGCCAAACGGCCCCTTGTT